GAGACAAAAGAAGTGAATAGACAATTTATAGGAAGGAAAATCCATATAGCAAAAAAATCATAAAAGAAATTCAAATTCTCAAGTAGCCTGGAAGAAAAAGTTATGTATTAGAAATGTTATCTATTTTACATGTTTTAAACTAACAAAACTAAAAGACCTTTAATACTTACTACTCGAATAGAGGGTAATTTAATTGATAGTGAAATGTAACCATGTTACCCCTTTTTGGAAGGCAACCTGGCAACATTAAATAGAAATATACAACATACACACACACACACACACACACACACACACACATAAATATAAATATAATGCATTACCTAGAAATTCCCCTTAGAACCTATCTCATAGAAACAAAACATCAGACTATGGAGACACATGTAAAAATGTTTATTGTAACATCATCTTTAGTAGCAAAGATGGGAAGCAGAGTGAATTTTTATGATTATGAAATGGAGTGTATGGTGCATCCATAAAATAAGAATAATATTTAGCCATTGTAAAGAATGAGTTAAATCTAGATCTGTTGGCTCTGAGGCATCCAAACAACATTTTGAGTGAGAAACACAAAATTCAAACAGTAGTGAAAGTCCTATATTTGTATGGGGTTACATATACGGGTATCATGTGTGTTTATATTTATTTTATATAGTATGGAAGAGTCTGGACAAATAAAGGATTTATACTAGCCTGTCAACAGAATTTCCTTTGATACTGGTGGGCCTGTGTTATATGTCAAGGAGGGAGGTCAGTAGAAAGGAAAGGGAAGGAAAAAAGGATAAGGGAAAATATATCAGCTCTTGGAGGGAAAAAAAAGTGTATATGGTATCTTACCTACACAGATAAGTGTGAAAAGTTATCCCTATGTGGGGAAAAAAGTCACTGCTTTATAGAAGGGACAATGCTATTAGGTCCCTCCTCAGAGCATATGTCTAAACCAAGAGATACCTTTGGCTACTATAAGGCAGAGGCTTTTTTTCTTAATGTGAACCCATCATAAATATGCTCTGGGGTGTGTGTGTGTGCGAGAGAGAGAGAGAGAGAGAGAGAGAGAGAGATTAATTCTAGCAAGTCATATATTTCTAGGTCATGGGTACCTGCCATGAAGAACCAGGAGCAGGGAGGAGAGTCACCCACGCTAGCCTCATCCACATGGCAGGGTGAGGAATGCAGACCCTTGAAGGCCAGAGTAAGAAGTGTAGGCGTCCCTCTAAGTGAGGTGAGCAATCCCTGGGATGTTAAGCAGAGTCACACGGTTTAATATCTAAAACACCTCTCTGAAATATTCTCTTTTTCATCCTCAGCCTTAATACAGTCTCTAGGCTTCTCCACTGATATAATTTTCTACTCTCCTCCCTGATTTCCTTTATTGCCAAGATTAGGTGCCCTCCTCCCCGCCACTTCTCTTCACCAGAAAGGGACTGGGTCCAAGGCAGGTCTGCTCCAGCACAGTCTGGAATGTGTGGGTTCTTGACTTCATGTAAGAAAGGTTTCATGACAGGAGTCCAGGTGATGTTGAGAGTGTGCTTATTAAAGCTGAGGACAGGGAAACAAAGGACAGGCTTGACAAAAGAGGCAAGGTCACAGAAACAGGAGTGAGTGTAGACTGAGCTGCCTGGACTTTGGTAAGGAAGTCACAGTAACAGGAGTGAGCCATGCTGGGCTGCGTGGACTCAGAGAACACGTTACAGAGGCAAAGGAGAGTCCTTAGAGACAGTACAAGGGCTTAGCCTGGGACAAGCTGCCACTGCCCACTTCTCCCCGGGTTGCAAGTCTTATGGGGACCCTTGGAGCTTAGGAGAAAGAAAGTAAAAGTATGCACCTGAGAAAAGGAGAGGCACAGGTATGCTCAAAGGTGAGTGCACATTGGGTTCTTTGTCTTAGGGTTCTTACCTGTTTTCTAAAGGTGGGAGTTTTAGGGGAGGTCTCAGAGAAAGGTCTCAACAGAATATTCACTATCTTTCCAGGTGTGTTCTTCAACATGCTGATGCATCTAAATGAATGTAGAGGGAGTTTGGAATCATTCTCTGGTCATTTCACTGTTTTACTTTTATCTTGAATTTGTCTAGCTCTAATTGGGTTTTTGTTATTTATTCCCTGGTCTTCATCTGCTCTGGGGTTTGGCTGATACAAATGGCACTAACAGGGTCTCTCTTATCTATCTCCCTGACCAGGGGGATTTAAGCTCCTTACTCTCTAATTGGGGAGGAGAGGTATAAACCATCTGCTCCTAAGTGTCCTTGGTTAAGGAAGATAAGATCTTTTGATGTATTAGCAGGCTGTTAATTGATCTGCCTTGTTTGACTACTTTGTCTCAGTTTCCCTCATTCCACTTGCCAGGGAATTTTCCTAACTTATTACTACCCTGCCTCAGTAGTACTGCCTGCTCGTGTAGTTGTCTCTTTCTCCTTCACTAGACTGTAAGTGCTTGCCAGATTCTAATACCTTGTTCAAGATACCAACTTGCTCTACTGATGGAGGGTAGAGGGAAAAAGCCTTATGTTTTAGCTTAGAATTTCTTTACTTTCTTTTTCCCCCTAAGCACTGAGCAAAGTTCCTTTAGAAAATGTCAGCCTGCCTCCACCGAAGAGGGAGAAAGAGAGAAACATAGCTTTACACAGCTTGGGAGGAAACATTAAAGGTGGACACGCAACATGCACCCTGTCTCTGAGAGGTAGTGGAAGCAACTGTGAGAGATCAAGGATAGTAGAGGAGGCGTTCCCTTTGCTGTCCCCTTCAAATATGGGAGGGGGGCGCTGTTCTCTTCAGGGCCTCATGGCAGTTTTCTCCTCAGGGTTTAGGGGCTCTCGGAGGACCAGCAGTGTTACGTGCGGTTCATATAATGCTAAAATTCCAGGCTTCAAAGAAAAAAAACCCTAAAAACAAAAACCAGTGAACTAGTAGATGTCCCGCCCCGAGACAGGATCCGCTTTTAGCTCTTCCTAAATCTCGGCAATAAATTTTTAAGCTTTAAAAAGCTCCCCGAGACACACTTTACGCACTCGCCGGAGATGCGCGAAAGCAGGCAGGATTAATGCGTAAACGCGGCTCCCGAGAGAATGCGGGCTTGCGTCTACCCGAGCCTCCTGCCCGCTTCCAACTGTTCCGAGTCCCCGCAGTGAAGCGTGGATCGCGGGCAGAAAGGTAGATGGCCCCCCAAGAAAGGCTCCGAAGGTTCGAGTCCTCACAGAACCGCATATCTGGCAGTCTGGCTGGCACTGGCTCCAAACCTCAGCCCATCTCGGCTTCTCTAAAAACAGTTCGCACGAGCCCTTCCCACGTCCTTCCAATACCTAGTACCAGCTCGGCCGTTTGAAATGGCCTTGGACTGGGAGACTAGGCTTCGAAGCCCGCCAGGGAGGGGTGGCCAGGGAGGGGTTAGGCCAGGGAGGGGTTAGGGATGGGAGGCAGACAGAAAAGGCGGACCTGCCCTCCAGTCCCTACGCAAACCTGGAAGCGGGAAGGTAGAAGAGTCCCCCCACTACCACCACCACTGTGTCACGCAGGTTCCCGCTGTGGCCTGCAGGCCCGGAGGCATAGAGGCAGGGGCTGCCAGGTCCCCAGGCAACGAACACGAGGCCGCAGTGGATGCTGGCAGAGAGCCCCGCGCCGCGCGTCTGGGAGACGCACTGCTTATAGGTGGCTCCTGCGCTCACCAAGCTTCTCAGGGAACGCAACCCAGTCCTAGTTGTCTGTATGGGCGGCTCATCTGGAGAGCCCAGCTGGAGTTTTTCGTGGAGCAAGGAGTCAAGCTACCAAAGAGGTTGGGGTGTATATCCCCAAAGCTTAGAGCTTATCCCTGCATCCTAGGGGAATCGGCCCGCCAGGGAAAGAAAGTAGGTATTTGGAGGTGTTTCCTAAACACGACCTCAGTAAAGTTATTTTCCGGAAACCGGAAACCAGACATCCTGCCGTCTCGCTTCTCCAGAGTCGCCAGAGCCAGCGCGCAGTGCACTCCGGCTGGAGCGCGGGCTTGAGCGCTGCCGCAGGGTAGCTCTGGCAGGTCGCCCCGAACACTTGCCCTACTCCCCAGCCACAGGCAGGTGCCTCTGCAAAGCTGTCGCAGCGCTCCGAGCTGCCCTCCCTGGAAGTTCAGTGTGCATCACTACAGCTCATTCTCAAACCTTTCCTTTTCCCCCTTGGTTCCAGCCGCAACCCCAGCTGGAGCAATTACTCCGAGGTTACCTAGCGCCCCCTGGCGGAGTGCGTGGGGCGTCCGACTTGCAGACTCCCACAGCAGGTACAGGGAGCTGCAAAAGGCGTGGTGGATGCGACGCTGGAGTGAGACAGCTGGCAACAGCTGACGACGCTGCCGCGCTGCGCATCCGGACTGGCGAGTACGCAGCCCAGGTACTGCCCCTTCCTGGTAAAACAATCCTGCCAGGCTTTATAAACCTCGCGCGCAGCCTGCAGAGGTTCCTCTGCTAACTCCCAATCCTAGCAGGACCCGAGCCAAGAGGCGCCTGAGAAGCTGCAGGAGGTGGCGGCGGCAGGGGCTACGGCAGGGGCGACAGCGAAAACAAGCGAAAAATTTCCAGCTGGACACGGAGCTCCAGAATTCCGGCCGTAGACTCAGAACTTTTATGGGTCGCGCTGTGACGAGCACCCTTTGTGCCCCCAAGTACTCATGAAGCACAGAGCTTTTTTGCCTTCCTCGCTGCAGGCAGTGGGGGTAGGAGTTGTAAGCAGCAGCAGGTGCTGAAAGGCGGGGGTATCCTGCTTTCTGGAAACGTGACCCACGGAATTTCTCTCCCATTTTTTCAGCCCAGCGCAGAAGATACGCGGTCTCCAGATTTCTGAACTCAAATGCTTCCTGGACCTTGAATGTGGAGGCATTCGGTATCACCAGGGGCAGGCAAGATAGCAAGCAATCATCTTCAGAGCTCCAAGTCTCCTGCTTGCACGGAAGAGGTCTGCCAGAAGGAGCCTGTAGCCCTTCTGTCTTGGTTAAGCAGGACCCTGACCCCAGGCGCTGGCCTCGGGACCTTGCTGCAAAGTGGGTGCGGGTACAGAGAGAACGGCTTAACCACTTAACCGAGGAATGGATAACGTCCTCCCTGTTGACTCTGACCCCTTCCCAAACATCTCCACCAACACCTCAGAGCCCAACCAGTTCGTGCAGCCGGCCTGGCAAATTGTCCTTTGGGCGGCTGCCTACACGGCCATCGTGGTGACCTCTGTGGTGGGCAACGTTGTGGTGATGTGGATCATCTTGGCCCACAAGAGAATGAGGACAGTCACCAATTATTTCCTGGTGAACTTGGCCTTCGCAGAGGCCTCCATGGCTGCGTTCAACACAGTGGTGAACTTCACCTATGCTGTCCACAACGAGTGGTACTACGGCCTGTTCTATTGCAAGTTCCACAACTTCTTCCCCATCGCGGCAGTCTTTGCCAGTATCTACTCTATGACAGCCGTGGCCTTGGATAGGTGAGCTTCCCTTTGTGGAAAAGGGAAAAAATGACCACAGAGGACCATGGCTTTGCTCTGGGGGTGTGGGGTTGGGTTGTGTGGGGTTGAAGCTGAAGTTGATTTTTACTGACAGACAGCTGTTGATGGTGAGACTTTGTCTTGTCTCCTTCTTTTCTACTCTATTTCCTCTTTCCTCCCATCACCAGTCTCCCTTCCTTTCTTCACAAAATACCCTTTTTTCTTCATGTAACCCTCTTCTCTTCATCCCTTTGCCACTCATCTCCCGGACATTTTCCTTTCAACTCCTGCTTTGCTCCTTTCCATGTATTTCTTTTCTCCCTGAAAGCCTGAAGGGGATGCCCAGGGCTGGGCCAAGGTGTGGGTTCCTCTCTGGTACTTTCTAAACCCTTGCAGGCCTGCTTCTGTGGGGCAGCATCTTGGTGCCTTCCAGTGTTAAGTATGCCTAGCCGGAACTGATCATTTTTCATTTTTTCCTGAATATTCAGGAACCTGCTGCTCCCACCTCAAAATTCCAATATTATTTGGATGTGAAATACTCAGATTCTAATTCAGCTTCCTCTACACTGCTAGAAGTTGTCCTCCATGAGTGAGAAGCAGTTACACTATTCTTAAGGCATTCCACAGATAGGGAGCTTACCCAGGAGTTTCTCTAAATCTCTCTTGTTAAGTGAGATCAATGTTTTTAGCCTGTTTGTATCCACAGAGAAACATGCTTGGAAAAGACAATTGAGAACTCTTTCTTTCCTGTAACCACCAGGTTAGGGTTTCAAAAGCTGATTGAATGTGAAAAGATTGGCATCTCAAACAGTGGGGTGAGCACTCTGGAGTGAATGGCCCCCCAGGTGGCATGATGGGAAAATGATTATTAGAGCACAGCTCTGTTTGTGTTGACTTTTTGTGGGTGTCCTAGGTATCTCATGTGTATATCTATGTGTGCATCAGTGTTAAATGTTTACAGGGCACGTGGAGGTAGGTTAAAACACCTGCCACTGTGATTTTAAAATGGGTCCTTTGATGGCCTTGCTGAGATAAATGAATTTGAGAAACTCAGAAAAGGAGCTAGGGAAAAATCTTCAAAAAAAATTCCCAAACTTTTGTGTAAGGTTGTTTATGATTTGCAATCAATTTGAGCTTCTATAGTGAATGAACACTTCTAAGACCAGAGAAGGCTACATTTCCTTTGCATCGGTGTCCAAATGCCAACTTCTAAGCTCCGTGTACACCTCCCTTTATGCAGCTCTTATGTGCTTAATATGTTGTGTGTAAGGCAACTTATGGTGAATCCATTATATTTTAAATGTGGAAGGAAACCAATTACTCAAAGTGGTAGTGAAATGAATTCTTTTGTAAAATTATCTTTTATGCTACTCTGGTTTTCAGATATTCAGTTTGCTAAAAGTAAACACTTGTAAATCTTTCTGCACCGACTTGCTCCTTTACCTCACAGTAGCCCCCTTAACTTAGAAAACCCACGGTGTGATATATAACTGAATATAGGTGCGGTGGAACTAGTACCTTTCACACGCTATCTTGATGATCCTAAATTAGAAGGAGAACTGGTATTTTTTTTACTGCACTGGGACCATGCATGAGCTCAAGAGACCATGCATGCATAGTCAGTCGGTATGAGCACCAGTGGACAGCTCTTCTGCTTTGACTTCTGCAGAAATGACATGCTTTACAGCTTTGCTCTTTCCCTTGGAACTTAGAAGGTTAGGGGCAGGCAGGAGTCAGGGTCAAAGTCTTCACTGGAGACTGGGCAGGGAGCTGCCTTGACTCTGGTATCTCAAGCTCCACTGTTTTTTTCCAGGCAAACCATAGACAGGACCCTGCTCCTGTGTGAACACTGCTCAGTGACGTCAGAGGATCTCTGGTGCCAAAGCTGGGGGAAACAACACCAAGAAATGTTCCATGTCCCTAGTGTACAGATACAACACAAGGATGCTATTAGTGACATGCTTAAGGTTAGAGTTCAAGCTAGAGTTAGGAATTAGGTGACAGGGCTGTCTCTCCAAGTCCTCCCAGTGTTTCTTCCGTATTTCCTTGCTCACCTCTTGAGCACACAGTGAATTAATCCCTTCAGGGCCTCTGAAGAACGTAGCTCCCCTGCATTTGTGGCCATCCATTCTCTCCAGTTTTAGAATGGAAGGAGCCTTAAGCTCTCTCCCTGTGAATGATCTCTCCCTTCTCCATCATGCCAGTGCAGGCTGTGAGAAAATGGAAAGCTACTTCTTGTATGTTTGTTGAATCTTTCACAAATAACTTTTGAATCAAGTCTTAAATAATGAAAGCAGACCTGTTCATTGCAGAAAACTGAGGAAGTATGAAAAGCGTAGGTGCAAAAATACAAATCAGCCATTACTGTCCTATGCAAAAATAATAATTGTTAACATTTGAATTTCACTCTTATGACTATTACACTATATAAGAGAGGCCAGATTCTTTATAATTTTGTAGCTTACTTTTTTCTATTGATATTAATGGAAAATATTAATAACATTTTCCCATGCCATTAAAAATTTTTCAATAACATAATCTTAATGGCTTCCTATTACTCTATTATATGAATGTATTATCATTACTTTAAGCATTCCCCTACTGTTGAGTATCTAGGCCATTTCTAGATATATTTCTACTATGATTAATACACTACTATACATTTCTGTATGATAATTTTTTTTTGTTTTCTGCTCATATTCTTAGGATAGATTCCCAGAAGTGAAATTACTGTGTCAAATGAAATCAATTTTTTTAAAAAACTTTCCCTTCTAATTTTAAAGGATTATAAACTCTGAGCAAAGCAAAGAGCATGTCTGTTCTCTCTTGTTTACATTATCTCCTCAGCACAAAGCAGAGTACTTGGCACCTCGCAGTCACTATGTTTATTGAATAAGTAAATAATGAATAAAATAATACATGTTCCTAGAAGAACATTTTGAAAATACATAAAATTACTTGAAAAATATAAAAATTATCTACAATCCCACTCTGACAGATAACCAGTTAAAATTCTGGAATGCTAGTTTATACTTATTTTGTGTGTGTGTTACTTATGCCACACAGAGTCAATCACACTTTTAAGGATACATTTTGGACCATAGTACAAACGGTTTCAATAGCTGCTTTTTGTTTTTGTTTTTTATTGTGTTCCTTACCTTCATATCATGAAATAGTCTTAAAAATAGGATTTTTAATGGATGCATTATATTTCATGGCTATAATCATTTATTTAGGTATTCTTCTATTTTTAGACATGAATTGTTTCCATTTGTAATGATCACAAGCAACTTGGAAGTGAATATTCTGGATATAAGCCTTTGAAAATGTCCCTTGTTCTTAGAAGAATCTCATTGAAGTGGAATCCCTGGGTCAAACTGTCTTTGCTAAACTTCCTTCTAGAACTAAAATATATGCACAGAAAAAAATTACCAGCAGCAGATTTTAGTACTAATGTAAATCATTTCTATAATCTTTCCATAGAACAGGGAAAGAGGGAGAGACCAAGAGACAGGGAGACTCAGAGAGAGCAGGGAGAAAGAGAAAAATCCCCTTCATAAGAATACTTATTTATTGAAAGCAATGGTTTCCTAGAATAAAAAAGTTGCAGAGACAAATACACCTAAATAAGATTAAGTCTACCTCTAATTAAAGTCTAAAAACACCAAGAATTTTATCTTTTCAAACTCCTTAATTTTCCCACTTAAAATAAAATTTAACTTTTTCCTATTATAAAAATCAAAAGGTGTATATGGTGTTTCATGAAATTAGAATCCAGGGGACACTGAGAGGTGACTCCTCCATTTTGCAGGAGCTGGTGATAATAGCAGGTTCTAGTATTTGGGGCAGTACCTAAGAAGAGAGGAGGGGGACCAGTCCCTAAGTTCATTAAGAGGGGCTATAGGGACAATAGGTAACTTGGCTTGGAACTAAGCACGCAGCAACAGGAGGCTCAGAAGAACATCAGCTTGGTAACACTGCTTCTCTACCTGGTAGGAGCAGATATAATCTCAGCAAAATGAAAGAGGAAGGTTGCTCATTACTCAGACTGGTTCTGGATATGTTGTGTTTGAATGAAAGGAAACGTCCAAATGATGATGATCTCTGGACAATATGAAATGTGGTCAGGACCAAAAATATAGTTGCTCAGACCGCGGTAATGGTGAAGGCAAAAGAAGGAATGAACTCTCTAAGAGAATAAAAGAGGAACCAAGAGCAAAGAAATGCATGCATAATAAAAACTCTACTCACTCATCCCTGATGTCTACCCCACCCTGCCCCAATCATACTCAGCTACAAGTTTAAGCAGGTTTCTTCCCAAGTCTTCACTCGACCTGCATTCTGTCCTTGAACCTCAACCTGTTGGCTAGAGTTGGATTCCATTGTATAAGCCAGGACACTCCTTCTCCCCTACTCCCAGGGCCAGACTTAGATTCTAGGATCCTTTGCACTAATTTAGGTGGACCTTATAACCCATGAACAAACACAAACACCCCTGTGATGCTGAGAATAGTCATTCCCTAGAAACTCATCCACCACAACTGTTCTTGTCTTTTCAAATCAGGAACCTCAAATGTCTAAGTTGATGTGGATCAAACTCAAATATGTTTCATCTTGGATGGGTCATTTAGGCTGCAGGACCTTTCCTAGAGAAGTTCAATGCCCACCTACTTCCTGGAGCCGCCCCAATGCACTTGCCACACCCTCTCTCTGCTCATGTGAGCCCACACTCTCTTGAATGCTCAAGGCCCTTCATTTTCTTTTTGGTTTTTGGTATTTATTTGTTTTAAAACATCAGAAGCAAAAGTTCAACTGTGGGGAAATAAAGAGTAATTCTCAATGTGAAATCACATAATAACTACATAAGGCTTTTTAACTATTATTATTATCACTAGCAAATGATAGAATGAAGGAGAAACACTCACTGTTAAACTTGAATAAAGATCTTCAGTCAATCAAAGGACAATGCCACCAGGTATGATGTTTCCCAACTCTGGGCC